ATAAATTATATGTTCATTTTGACGTGAGAACGTTGTAAATTCAAGTAATAATCATTAATTTATTAATTTGATCACTTTTATTATAAATTTAAGTTGCGAACAATTTGTTATTAATAACGAATATGATAATGTACACATTTTTCGAATATATTTTATACATTACAGGATAAATTTCCATGATACGTATGTCAGAATGTTAGTTATTTATTGACACAAATTATTGTAATTATGGGTATTAATAATCTGGGGATACTTTTGCGAAATTTGTAAGACAACAATGAATCTCCCAACATTCTTACTTTTTACGTAATACTTCATTATGTCAAAAAATCATGCGTTTTTAGATAAACTCGCAATTTTTGAAAACCGGGGGCGATTAAGCAATTTCGATTACGGATTGGGGTTCATATGTAAATAAACTCTACGAGGTTGCTCTAATGGATATTGCAGATTAGGGAAAAAGTTAAAATTTGTCGGGCAATGAGATTGAAATGTCACACGTAGACACATACACCCAGATACATCGTCGCTTAATTCGTTCCCTTGTTACCACCCTTTTCATACGATCATCGCCAACGCAATTCCAAGAAAGCACGTAATTTGACAAATTCTCGCGATCACGCGTCACTTGCCCCAATTTTTCACTCGCTACGACCGCGTATTATTCCATCGTCGGTTTTCGCAACGCGTTTCGCAATGGCGAAGATCCGATTTCGCGTGAAAAATGAATGGAAACGAGCGTTTGGTCCGTGAAACCGCAAAGTCATCGATTATTTACAAGAATTTGCAATGCGATTAGGTTTTAGCCCTTGTTTATGTTAATTCCGCTCGTTCCCGTGTTAACTGTCGGTCACGTAACTTAAAATTAGCCATGGCACATGTAATTTTACTGGTTTCTTTTCCTTTTTTATACCACATATGTTACTTATCGCTGAACCGTATGGGCCAGTTTTTCCTTGTAAAACGGCAGCTCGAGGAAGGTGCCCTTTCGACCCAACCTGTTAACCAGGTATAGCCGTTGCTACGAATTCCTTTATCGCTGCTCCAAATTAGGTTGAGACTCGGTGGAATAGGAAGATTAGTTACGTAAACCAAGTGGATTGCCACGTTCCAGTTGTTTTTCGACAATCGCGCGAGTTTCACGAAGGAAAAGAGCAATTAGAATGACACATCGCGGGGTACCTCGTTTCCTAACACCTCGCCCACGTTTCTCCGGTTCCCTTCTACTCGCTTTTTGATCCTGCGTGTAATTCCTACTCCGATTACAACGTCCATGGTTACGGTAATCCGACTGCCCCGGTTAAAGCAAATAATTACCAGGGAGAAAGTTCGCCTCTCGCCTTTGCGAAATTTCTAGGAACACCTGACGCCCGGGTTTCAGCCTGCAGCCGCTGCAAAAGCTATTTTCGACTCGAATATTATACGAGCCTTATCTTACGTTAAAAGAGAGGGAGCGAGGGAAAACATACAAAAAATAGAGGAATAAATTTGGAATTTACTCGGTTGGAAGGAACTCGGCTCGCTAGAGCGTTGGCTAAAAATTTCCAGCCAAGTATGCAGGATCAACGGCCTAGTTTCCAGGACAAAGCGATCGTGGATCGGCGAGCACACCGACAGTTCCCTACTCGCGACCAAGTGAAAGTAATAACGAGGTAATCGCGAGGCTGAAAGTTCCTTCGCTCTCGGAGGGTTAATGACGCGCCGGTACGCGCACCGTGTAAACTTTTAACTGCACGATTTTGGCGGCTCCGACTCGTAATCGCCTCTAGAATCGTGGCACAGCCACGGTACGAACTTTCCCGCCCGGTGCCAACTTTTAATGGTTTTGTTTAACGCGTTGCACCCCGATGATGGCCCGACACCCTTCTGCACGCGTCCCGCAGCGCGTTCTACCGTGACGCCTGTGAACCAATTCGCAACAAGATGGCCGACGCGTATATCGGTCAACGGCGTTCCTCGCGTTCTATCTAATCGCGGTCGTTTATATCTCGCATAAAAAGGACGCTTTAACTCGCCTTGATAAAAACCAACCCCTTTTCCACCCTCTAGCAAGAATATCCGGGTCTCTTTCGCTCTTTCTTATCTCCTTTCTCCACCATATCGTTCCTCCTTATCCGGCGTTTCATCTAAATTTCATGGCTTCACGAAAACGCGGAGGAAGGTACACGAGGTTCGAGCGAACCGTGTTTCGCGGGGGAGGTTTTACTCGGACTAATCTCGCGTTAATTCACGCTTGCTCCGTTCCAAGACGGGTCGTCGAAAGCTTTCATTTCGATTCGTCCGTCGCACGTAACCTCCAATTCTCAGAGGTGTAATTTCTTCTCTCGTTTGTCCACGGTGCCTTGGTGATTTTCGAGAAGGGAAGACCGACACTGCGAATCTGTTCCGTGTCCACGATTTCCATGGCGTCCACGTGACCAAACGCGGTAAATCAGCGCGCGGGGGGGCACCGTTGCACAGCGTTTCGCATAATTCCCACCGCATAATGCTATGCTTTCCTGCGTCACGGTTCTACAGCGGAGTTACGAGACGCTGTTATCACTCGCTTCCACTTTTACGACCGCCTTTTTTCCCGTGGATCGGTTATCGATCGTAAAACAAAACGGAAAATTCCCTCGTAAAAAGGGGGGTCTTCGAAGGTTGTTTCTCGGAGATATAACTCGGTCGTTAAATCGGTTATCGAAACGTTTGAGACACCCGGGAAGGGAGCAGAAGCGTGTTCATTTGCCCAAAGAGATTCCTCGAGAATCAAAGAGGAGAGCCATTCCCTCTCGAGTATTTCGTATTCCGTTTGTCACGGGGTCGGCATAATTGGTAGGAAAAGTATGGATGTCACGGCGATTTCAAACAGAGTGGTGGAAAAGGTTGGCGTTTCGCTCACTCAGGGTCTCGCGAGCGAAACGCACGCACGTTTCGCAAGGGTAGCTTTCGCGAGGCGAAAATTAAAGAAACTTCGTGCCATTGAGACGCCCGTTACGCCTCTGCACTTGGTATTTCGAACACAACTCCGAATGAACATCCGAAGAAAACGAGATCGATCGTCCGAGCCTCGACGTTGGTTCGAGTCGAACGGGCGGAGGAAAGGAATCGAATAAAAAAGGGAGAAATAAAAGGGAGGGGAAGAAAAAATAAATGACGGAGTCACGAGAACGACGGGCAAATGGAGGAAAAAATGGCGAGGAGAGGAGAGGCGGGGGGCCTAGCATAGCTGACGCGTGGGCGCCTTGAAAAAGCGACGGTGTTAAGGTAAAGAACTTCACCGTGCCCGGTATCGATTTCGCGGTCAACCGAAGGAAGTCGCGCGGCTGGTCTCCTAGGTGTAATGCAGGAGGCCGAAGGAGAAAATCTTTGCGTGACCGGCTCGCTGGCCAGCAATGGCTCGGCCTGGCCACCCTCTTCGCTTCGCCACCCTTCGTGCTCCGAGGTCCGACCAACCCCCGTGGACTGCGGCACCCGCAATCTTCGTGCGACACACGAGCCGGGCCGCGATGCTCGTTCGCCAGCCGAACCAACTCCACAGAGCCTGCCGTTCTCTTCGCGCGTCCACGTTCCCTACGAATCGATCCGCGACCCTCGAGATCATCCTCCGCTATCTTCGCTTCCGTTCCCCGTGGCTCGCGCTGCTTCCGCTTGGCCATCAATCACGAGATCGTTCCGTTGATCTAGCGACCCGACGAAGCCTACGGACAGAGCAGGTAAGACCACTGCGTACGTTCAACCGTTTTCGAGGAGGAAGGGGTTGGTAGAGACAATCGGGAGGAAGGAAGGGTAGGTGGCAACACGTGGGAATTCGGTGCACGTTGCTTCCAACGCCACGATCGATACGAAATCTCACGCGTGACGTCTAGGTGTATGAACGCGAATTTATGGGAGCGTGAAACTGGTTAGGCCGGCAGAGGCTCCCGGGGATCGATGAGATTTAATTGCTACGTGATCGTCGTGTGGATGGAGAGGGTGGTAGGAGATTAATCGTTGATTAATTGCCCGAGGTCTGATCGAACGACGGCGCTGGAACGGTTGTTTCACGGATGTCTTTAATTCCTCCGATGCTGTCACTCATCGCTGGTTTAATGGTCATTGTTCTTTGTACTTGTCGTTAGGCGGGAAGCGTTGCAATTGCGAGAAGAGGATTTTCAGAGCGATAGAGAAAGACTTCTGGAACCTTGCGGTATATGTTCCGAGCACGGTCGACTTGTCTGACTAGTAAGGTACACGTTCACTGGGAAATCCCCTGTGTCACGCGGACAATATAACGCTTGCTCCACTTGTGACATTATAAATTACCAGCGTCATTACTTACTGCATCGTAAAAAAATGCTGCAACACTCTCCTCGGAGTGAATATAATGCGGAGTAGATCATAAATTTGTTCGCGTAGGATTTATTTCTCTCTTGCGAACCTGGGGGAACGAGGACGTGCAAAGTGGCTGGTTGCTTGGAGCCTGGTTCTCGGAAATTTAGCTTCGCGATTAATTTTCATATTTCATCGCGGTTTTATTTCAATGCACTTTCGAGAAATTTGCAATTTAATTGTGCACCCTCTGGGAGATGCTTAAAATTCGTAATAATTATTCCAAAGATTATCTAATTGACGAATAATACAAATTCTCGAGAGCTTCTAACTCTAAGACCAAACAACACCCAATCCCACGATTACCAATTCCACCCTCCAGAATCAACTTCACCTCGACCCACATTCACCCCCGCGATATCCTTGAAGAATTCAATGGCTGCCACGTCGAAGGCGCCGCTGGTATCGTTCCTTTAACCGCGTCACGCTCCATCGACGCCTGTCATTCCTTTCTTAATCGACGCCGAAGGCTCCTTTATCGCGTGGAATCGATCGAGCGAGCGTTTTTAATAATGCTAACAGCACGGGTGCGGCCGCCCTTCGATTACAGGGTGCTGGCAGCAGCGAACGGCGTCGGAGAACGCGCTTCCGACCGGCTTTTCACGCGCTGGAAGAGGTCCCTGAGTCGTTGCTGCGAGTGTTGCCCGAGCATGAGGTGCCTGGCATGTCGCACGGGCCACAAGGGCTTCACCTGGCCCAGGAACCACGCCAGGAGCACCACCATGTTGAACAGGAACGAGCAACCCCTGGCCAGGGACAATGTGCCCACCGGCTGTTGGCCTAAATTCAAGAATAGATGCAGGTACGAGGGGTCATGGGAGTTGTCGAGGCATGGACATTTTAGGCTATGATTTAGTAACGCGTAAAATTACTTTTGAAACCTAATTTTATCTTTATTTGTACTCCTTATATAAGTTTCAATCGTATCTGTCCGATTCTCAAATTTGCATTTATTTTTGGGTATTTTGTTTGCAATAATCTTTCTATACGAGTCGGACAATTAAGCATAATGGAAATTTCAAAAAGATATTTATCCCGCTAAAATAGTAATTTCGTAAATGAATGGAAATTGTAATTCCAGAGAATCCTAGGGACGAGTATTTAAATTAAACGTGTAATTTGTATAACGAAGAGTTGGCCGCGGTAATATACGATGTGATATTTTCCTCGTTGCTTTGATGCACGTACATCGAATCCAATTTACTGGAGAGCAGTACGAACCTCCTAATTGCAGCATGCGGTAGATTATTAAGACGAGATTAAGTTAATGGAACACAATATTATGTCTCCAAAGGATTAACTTTCGCCCGAGAGTTCAGACGAGCTGTGTAATGGCTCTCGGCACGGTTGGATGTGTGCTATTGAAACATTAATATTCATGGTTATGCTTTCTAGGCTTCCTTCGTCGGCAGATTGATTTTATTTTGCTTATTAATATTCAGAAGGCGTGTCGGGATTAACCGTAATGGAACGTCCTGCGCAAACAATATCGTCGTTATTGACTTTGCAAACTAACTCGAGCGAATCGGTGAAAATTAACCATCTTTCGTACCAGGTGCAAACGACTGAGGGAAATGAAATGTTGCTCAAGAAGATCGAGGATCGCGCCCGCGGAGGCGACAGTCTGCTGCCCCCCGGAACGAAGGTTCGGCGCCATTTGCCGCCGCTTGTTCGACAACTGCAAATGCAAGCGAAACGCCGAAGCAGAACGCACAAGGAGCATACGTGCCAAGCACAGTCTTACCAGCGTAGCACCGCCCCCGCTGTCGGAGGTATTGAAATTAAAATACAAAGAAGCGAGAACAAATGGCAGATTTATCTGTTCCGTATCGATCGATAATTCTCTCTCTCTTTTTCCATTTACCAAACGAAACAGGAACCGAAAGCTAAGATACCGGATGTCCTAGTGGAGCACAATTCGCTGATGCGTGGCGCTATACCCTGTCTGCCAGTTCCTCTCGCGTGGTTCTGTCTCGTGTGGAACGTCCTACTGCCTGGCTCAGGTAAACCACGTTTCTCTGACCCCGAGGAGATTCGAGTGATAAAAGGTGGAAAGAGGAATGTGACTGGTCTACTTTCAGGAACCGTGTGGAGCGGTATTTTCAACTTGTGCACCGGCCAGCCGAGATTCTCGCCGGTGGCTGGACTGAAATCGAGACTGGGTGCGTTCGTGGTGAACCTGGTGGTCGGGGTGGGTCAATTATTCACCGTTTTATTCTGCCTGGTTGGGTGGGGCTGGAGCATTTGGTGGGGCGTCACTTTGGTCCGTTTAGCGAGTAAGTAATATTAAGCATCGATCCGAAATCGACGGAATCGCTCGTGCCAGACAGCCCCGGGGATTTCGTGCTCTCCTAATGAGTCATAATTCAAGCTGAAAAAATGATGTCCGCGTTAAAAATGGATTTAACCTCGTTCCTTCCGAGAAGGAACAGCCACTTACCGGGACAAGGGAAAATTGAAGTTGTGCAATTTGAACGAGTGACTCATTCGGAGAGCGCTATTTCGTGCGAATGGAAGCGGGATATTTTATTTCTTTCGTTTTAAACGGAGACGTGACACGAGGAATAATTGGGTTTCAGGGAAGTACAAGAGATTCAAAGCTTCCGAGGCAGCCAGCAACGATCCGGAAGCGAGGGGCGGAGAAGCAACGGCTCTGCCACCGGGTGTACCGAGTCAGGCGTTGAGAGGGATGGAACGGACGATTCGATAATCGAAGTAACGAACGGGATTCCTCTGTGCTCTGCCAGACACTCGGGAACGTTTTTATATTGTTCGACTTAGCGATTCTTCACTACGTGCCTTCTCGAGAGTTGCGAACAGGAAATGAAACTTTTCGCTGGATGGACCCGTAACGCCGAAACATCCGTTTGGAAGAAGAACAAAGGAGCAAGCACTTTCTCCTCGATCCGTGGCAGGATTTTTCTGCGAAATCGTTGGACGATCGTTTTGTTGCGGGGGTAAATAAAATTCGGGGGAAATTTTCAACGTTCGCGCGTTACTTCGCGAAAAGGGGTACGTCGGGGGAAAAGGGCGGGAAAAAGGAAAAGAAACGAAAAAGATAATAGGAAGAGAAAATGTGAAACGATGTTATCGTGGTTCGCGATCGAGGAACGAAACGAAGTTCTCGGAAATTAATCGCTTTCAGTGAAAGCATACCTATTCGTGGCGTTCTTTCAAAATGTACTCGTTGCGTCGAACGGAAATTGCTTTTTATTTTCGTTCGTCCTTTCTCCTGTGTTCACAATGGTGCGGCATTTTATATTTTTGTTCTTCGTTCGTTGCTTTATTTTATTTCGAAATGAGAACGTCGATCGAACGTTTCGCGGCTGAAATCAAAGAAGAAAGACAAAGCGTCTGACCTTTCTTTTTTCTCTTTTTCTTTCGCTCTCTCTCTCTGTATCTCACTTTCTTTCTCTCACTCTCCCACTCTTTAATCAAAGAAGAAAGACAAAGCGTCTGACCTTTCTTTTTTCTCTTTTTCTTTCGCTCTCTCTCTGTATCTCACTTTCTTTCTCTCACTCTCCCACTCTCTCGGCCTCGTTCGAAGGTGTTTTACTTTCCCACGTCGATGGAATAAATACGTTTTGAAAAAACGCACTTTATATTTTTACAAGCGCAACACATATTATATGTATACATACATTCATATATTCAACTATCCGACTTATTCAACTTACAACTAAAAGTCCTTGTAAATATGAAAATATATTACTTACATCGGTTTTTAATCTAATCGCTGCTTCTGGAATTGTTCCCTCCTTTATATCCCCTAATCGCAGTGTAGAGAGAATATTATGGTGTCTTTTGTTATTACTTTTTCTCTAAAGACAGTGGCACGTGGCTTAGTGCCATATCGGTTATTGTCGCAATGAATTTTTCGTTCGAATACTATGCAAGCCTCTATAGATCATCGTCTGAAAGTTCGTTTGAAAATATTTTAGCAAAAGCGCCGAAGAAGTATAATGGACCCTAAATTGCGTGGAAATGATACATATTACACAGTTTCTCTGAGTTTAGTTTTGTCTGTAAGATCCGTTAAAGTGTCGCGTGTTCTGGTCATAGTCCTGTGTCGCATAGTTTCTCAAAAACGTGTAACTGATATCGGGAAATTAAAAATCGCTCGGTAACTCCAATTCCGTGGTGTTTGTGCCAACTTTCCAATTTCCAATTGCAAATTTCAAATTTAAAACTTTAAATTTCTAAATTGGAAATTTAAAATTAAAAATTAAATATTTCTAAATTCCAAATCTAAAATTTAAAACATCAAATTTCTAAATTGCAAATTTTAAATTTAAAACTTCAAATTTCTAAATATAAAACATTAGATTTGAAAATTCGCAATTTTTAATTTAAAAATTCGAAATTTATAATACGAAAATTCGAAATTATTTTTAAATAAAAAAATTCTCAATTTCAAATTTCAAATCTCGAATTTTTCGTTCCGGAAGCTACGTCCGATGTTACTCGCAGCATCGGAATATGATATTCCTTCCCTTCAAGGACTCTTCCATTTAGGCGAATTCGACGGGGCATTTCCATAGGAAATGGCGCCCGTAAAGTGACTGTTCGCGGCAACACCAGGGAATCGCTGTGTTCTGGAATTCGAAAGAGTTTTCGGCAGGCAGCCGTGCGGCAGTGACTGCATGCGACAGTGGTGGAAGGGTGAAACTGAACATGGAACGGAAGTCCATGGTCGATTTCCGTGCAGCAGAGGAAACAAGACACAAGACACGGTCGACGGTTGGAAACGTGCGCATGCTTGTGGCCAGGATCTAGCGAATAACTACTAATAAAAGCTCGCGCGAATCGATTGCATGCTCAAGCAGCTCTATTTCAGGCAGCGCTTATCAAGATCTCGTTATTTTCGCTTTATCGAAGGACTCAGCTAGCCGTCTAGCTTCTTGCAACGCTTCACGCGCTTTTCGTCTTGGGGATAGTGCTTGGACACTGTCACCGTTACGTGCAAATGTTTATCATGTTGGGGAGTGGTCGAATGTTTCGAATCGTGACGTCTGATCAAAAATAAAATAAAAATAAAGGAACAAATAAAAGATCGTGTATCGTGTCGCGGGGATTCAACGAGATTCGTAAATAATATACACAAATATCGCGTAATTTTCTATCACGAGAACCCATTTCCTAACGCCGAGAACTGCGATCCTTGAGCCAAAGAGAAATTCGGGAAAATCTGATACGAGATTCAACGATGCAACGGAGTACGGCGTAAGTCTCACGCGAGAATTTTCTACGACTTTCCATTTGGATTAGATCCAATTAAAAAATTCTTTCGAAAGAACGAGCGAGCTTGTAGTTTATCTCGAGCGAAACCATACGCGGACGTCACACGCGACCGTATGGAAATACGACGCGATTTACGACGGCGTTTTAGGCAATAAAATGTCGAGATTTGTCGCGCATTCCCACGGGAGAGTTGCACGAGACGTCTTATCGCGGCGTTTGCGCAATGGTATTTCGCGAAACTTGAAATACAACGCTGTTTCCGCGACTCCGCACCCCTTTGCGCTTGCCTCGAGGAGTCGTGAACGAAAGAGAGACGGCTCGGAGTTATGTGAGGCGCGTTTGATGTATTCCTTTGTCTGCAAGAGGGTGGTGATTATGTGACAAAGGTGGCGTAGTTCAGTGTCGAAGTTCAAACGAAAAATGGTAAGAGACAATTTGTTTGGGTCGCGTTCGTTCCGGAATATTTCATCCTTTGTCGGACTCGCGGTTGGTAAGGGATGTCGGGTTTTTATTCTTTCCCTTTTGTCGTTTCGAGTGGAGGATCGTGAAAATCGGGACAGAGGCAGGACAGAGAGAAATTCGTTCGAAGAAAATTTCTTGCTCTGGGATTTAAAAAGGAAATTCGATTGATGACTGAAAATTTTCAAACGTTCCTACTTCGTTCGTTTCGATAACCGAGGAAACGAGGGGGACTTTAAAAATCGCTGGAAATTTAATCGCGTTCGAACCCGGAGCTTTTTCAAAATGGCGCATGGAATAGGTTTAATACGCGACTGAATCGATCGTTTTGAAAACAACTTGGGTCACGATTATCGTACACCACTCGGTAGAAACAAAGCGAATAAACTCGAAAGGTACGGCAGTTAATTACTCACAAATATAACTGTCTTCGATTACTTCGTTTTCTATTAATTCCTCTGCGAATACACCAACGATTCCCACCCGATATCGCGAAGTCCGCGTGTCTCTATCGAAGCTCGAAACGTAATAGAGGAAAACACGATTCGTCGAATAGGTCTCGATATACTGAATCAAGTAGACCGGAGAAAAATAAAAGACGTGTAAGAAAAGAACGTACGAAGGAAGGTTGGAGAAGAAAAAGCAAATTGTAAACGTAACCAACGAACGTGGTTATGAATCAGGGAAAAATAAATGTATTTTTGAGTAGTAAAGGTATATATAGATATATATATATATGCATATCATATGCATGGTATATGGTGTGGGTGTCAATGAATCGAGTCGCTGACGCTGAATATATTGAGTAGTATATGTTTTAATGATGTGACTCCATTAATATGTCAATATGCACAGGTAAATATTTCTTGTTATTATATAATAGAAGTGTTACAGTGTGTAATGTGATACGATAATAAATTTAATAGTAACCATATTATAATTAAGAACTTAAAATAACTCTAAAGGGTAAACTACATCACTATCGGCTAGCGACTATTTAGCGATAATAATAGCCTACCATGTCTTTTACTAGCGGCGCTCAGTGAGTGTGCTCTTTTTTCTCTTTAATATACCTTTCACTCTCTCTCTCTCTCTCTTTTTTTCTGTTTGTTTCTCAATTTCTCTCTTCCTTTCTCTCTCTCCCTTTCTCTCCCACTCTCGCATTCTTCCTCTCTCTCTCTTTCTCTCTCTACGTGTAATAATTATTCCTCTGTGCTCGATGTTCCTTTCGTACCCATGTTGTTTTCTCTCCCGATATTTTTGTTTCCTATAACTCGTTCGTTTCACTGCCTTTTTATCGTGTCCCTTGCAACCTGTCGCTTCTACAAACATCAACCGATTCACACCGGCCGCTTTTCACGTCTCTGTCCACGTCCCTAGCCGCCATTTTTCGCTCGCCAGAACTACGCAGCGCCCCCTCGCGTTTCCGGTTCAACCGTCTCTTTCTCTCTCTCTCTCTCTCTCTCTCTGCCACGACCGAGATCGGTCGTCGGCCATTTCGTCGAACCAACGAATCCCTCGCGTACGTCACTGTTCGCGAGGGACTCGAGAATAAGTAGAGGCGAATCGAATAAATCCGACGTTTCCTCTGGAAAATTTCGAACGTTCGAATTGCGAACGCAAGAGAGAAGGAGACGAGCTTTAACGTCGGCTTGTCGAAAGCGTGATCGCGAAAAGCGGTTTCTCGTACGCGTTTCGTGAACAGAGAGCTCGAAGCAGGCATCGATTTCTCGCGTGTATTTTTCTGGTTTTTTCGTTTTTCTCCTGTTTCTAGAGTTTCTCGTTATAGACACACGTGTACAAGCGTCCCACATACCTCTAGGACCGTGGTGTGTGGGGGTCGATCAGTGGATTGGTTCGCGAGATGTCGCGCAAAGAAACGAATGAATGAGTCGAGCTGTCGGTGATTTTTATACACATCATACACATACATAATAATCGTATATAAACATGGATGTGCGTGGATCGTGGTGGTTGTGCTGTTGTGTTCAGTGTGTGACGGTCTACGTA